AGTCTGATTTTCATACCGATTTTTTCATAGAACGGTTTACATAGAACGGTTGTATGTATTTATCATCATCCGCAATTTCAATGGGTATTTCACTTAGAACCATGTTGAAATTATCTCCAGCACCATTTGAACGCGTTTCAATCCCAAAAAATGCGGTATACGGCGATAATATTTGATATTTCAATGATAAATCAATAATACGTTGTTTTATATTTTGTTTAAGACGAGGTTGAGCTGAGCCGATCTCTTTTGAATATAGTAATTCTTGAATTAACGATTTAGCAGCAAGACGAGCGATAGTTGTTGTTTGATCAACTGATACATTGGCATTTTGTACCTGAGCTGCTGCTATCAACGTATTTTGGCTATTTAAAATCTCAACTGTTCCACTATCGTGATCGAATTTGTCATCAACTAAGGCATATATTATTAGACGATCGTTTGCATAGATTGGTGGTATTTTATTTGGTGCTTGATGAATTAGACCAGTTGCTGTAGTCAAATTCCAGTTCACTTTTAAATTTGTCAGACATGGTTCTAAAGCTTTTTCTAACTGTTCAGCAACGTATACATCAACCGATCTATCAGGTGCGATAAATGAAAATCGACCATTCGTTGAACGTGCTAAACCTTTGATCAATGAGCGACTGGGTGATCGACCTCAATGATACAAGAAATTGTACAGTGGATTGACAAATTATTCGTGCACTCCTACACTATCATTTTGCTTGCTATTTGTAAATCATACATGCTAGAGCCTCAGGATCTTCACCATTGTGTAGAGCACGATATCTAGTGTATATGTAGGTATTCCAAATATTTAATTCCATTTTATTTCAGTTTTAAAAGAAAAATGCTAAAAAGATATCGTTTTCTGACGGTGAAAAGTATTCAAAAGAAAAGTATTCCGAAAGAAAATTCCCTTTCGGACAAATACCTATACTAGTGAAAGATTTTGATTTATTTTATCGCTTTGCCTCTAACGGAATACATACCAGTGAAAAAAGCCAACAGAGTTATGAAAAAAAGTTTCTATATGAAAGGATACCATTCGCCCAGTTCCTTGCGCTGGACGGCACTTGAATACATTCGGGCTTATTATAGATCGAAAACAGCCGAAACGTCCGCGATTTTTTCCTAACTCGGAACACTAATCCGTGCGGAAAAATC